CGAGTATGTGGAGCTGGCGTCGGAACGCGAGGGGATGCGCCTCGAGATCACGCTGGATCCAGTCGGCCTCGCCGGCTCGGATGTAGCGCGCCAGGTCGAGCGTCGTGCAGGCACTCACCTTCTGGCACGTCGCTTCGAACTCGGCCTTGGCGGTGGTAGCTGCTTTGTCGAGCGCGGCAAAGTCGTCCAGCACGGTCTGGAGCGGGATGTCGACTCGGGTTAGCTTGTTGGCCTTGACCTTGGTGCCACCGACGAATGCGCCTGTGGCAGGCAGGCTCGGTGCATCGGGGCGGCGCTGGATGTGCGGGAGGATCGAGAGGTCGCCCATGTCGGCGCTGTACACCGTCTGGGTCGTCAGCGAGACGTGGGCATCGAGCGCGTCGTACATATTGGGCGAGATCCAGCTGCGATGGTTGCCGTTGGAGCCCATGGTGGCTCCCTTCGACACGTACGTCCAGGGGTCGGGGTTCAGGTCGACGCGCTGGCGTTTCGGTGCGGCTGGGTCGCGAGGTGCCGCTGGGGCACCTCGCAGCAGGGGCCTTGGTCGGCGGAGGAACCTTGGCATCGCGCGCGTACTGGTCGAGATCCGCGCGGTTCAAGCGCCGTTCGCGGTTGGCGAACCAGCCCTTGGGGTACACGCGGTAGAGACGGCCAAGGAATACGATCTCGTCGATCAGGCGGCCTGCTTTCTTGAACACCGCCGGCACTTGGCTGTCGTGGAACGAGATGCGGTAGCGACTGCCGGTAGACCCGTACGTCTTGGAGGTGTTGGTGTACATCCCCGCGATGGGCATCGCGCCGCATTTCGCGAGTACGTCCCAGAGATACGCGAGGGACGGAGTGTCTACGTCGAATCCGACGATCTCGGCGTGAAAGCCATCGAGCACGTGCGGCGACGTCATCGTAAACGACTGCTTGCCGTCCTTGGTCGGGATGTTGAATGCGGTGTTCTCGAGGAGCGACGCCGCTTCGTGGGACGCTAGGCCCCAGATCAGTTGACGTGTGTCCGTGTCGATCTTGAGGCGAACGACGCCTTGTAGCCCTCGCTCGATGGTGCGGTTGCGGTTGTCGTGCAAAACAGCGGACAGGACCTTGCCTTCATCGAGCTGGCTGGTCACGTGGCCAGTGTACATACGGAGGGAGGTAACAATAGCGCGTGGGGCGGTGGTGAGGGTGGCCAGGAAGGCATCAAACAGGACGCGGCCCGAGGTCGAGCACTGGCTGGAGTTGGGCCATCGTCGGACGATGGAGACCGACGTCTCCCTTGATGGAGACGCTGGCTTGACGGCGCTGTTCGGCATGGTGCTGCCACACGTTCGCCGGTGTTGTGGCCTCAGCAACCGGTGACGAGGAAGTAGGGGCTGTTGTCGGCGGGGCTGTTGCTGAAAGGAATGGCCCAGTTGCTCCAATTGTGGAGCGACGTGGCGCACGGGTGCTAGTCTGGGAAGTGGGCACATGGGTGTTGGTCGTGGTCGTGGGTGTATCAGCGCTGGTCTGAGACGAGGACAGGTCTGGCGTGGCCGCCGTGGATTGGTTAGTAGCCAGGGGTACGCCAGCAAAGGTCGTTGCTGATTCGCCGGCACATCCTCGGTTTTGGGACGAGGGCCAGTCTTGCCCGGTGAGTGATGGTCCGTTCGTTGGAAAGCCTTAGGACGAGGGCCAGTCTTGCGTGGCAAGTGATGGTCCGTCGTGAGCACGGCTTGGGACGAGGGCACGGCGTCAGGGGGCAAAGTGACGTCGTACGATGCCGAGGCCTTGGTCGCCGCTGCAGGCGTCGGCGACGGGACGTTAAAGGCCACAGCGTTGCGTGCCTCTTGGAGCACATGGCTGCGAAGAATACGGATGGGATTCATCGTCTTGCGAGGCGGCGTGGCGGCTGCATCGGGCGACGAACGCGGCAACTCGGCCGGCGGCGTATCGCTGGGCTCCGGCTTCGTCAGAAGAGGAGTGGTCGCGGCAGCATTCAAGCTCGTCGGAGACGGCTGGAAGTCGTCGCAAGCAACGTCGATCATATCGACGTCGTGGGTCGGGGCGGGCGTGGTCATCGTTCGTTAGAAGACTTGAGGCGGGGTAGCTCCTGTGTTGCTGGCTGAGACTGGTACTGCGCATTTGCTGGGATATTGAGAACTGACAGCGTGGCCGAGTGTTCAAAGGATATATTATAGAATATACCCATCCTATCCAATATACCTGGAGCATTGGATATTTTCACTCTGAAAGGGGATAAATAG